TCTCTACATCCCCAGGAGGCATCTGTAGCTGACAGTGGACATCTAGCTGGTATGGTAGTATACACAAATAATTCAGCACCCAAGAGTTCTACCTCTTTCTGTAGTAGGATGGTCCTGGGTTCCGCAGTTAGCAAGTTCTTTGCAGACTCTTCTTGGTAGAGATAAAGTTGGTCTTTCTTTGCCAGAAAAGCCACCCAAAGTCACATGTCACTACCCAGATTCGTCTCACTCCCCAAAGTGTGGTGGGATCAGGAATTTTAAGTCAGCTTTGACCACAAAGCAAGTTGAAGGCCATCCTGGGCTATGTGAGGCCAGATCTCGAAAATTCAATAAAAATATTTTCAAAGAGCCTTTTAAATGCTTCTCATAAAAATAAAGACTAAACACATGTCAAAACTCCATTGCACTCTGCACCGAGGGAACTCAGGGTGGTAAGTTGCTTCCAGAAGCAACTGTGGATTGGAGCATTGACAGGCAGAACCACACTTTGGGGAGTGAGACAAATCTGGGCAGTGACATGTGACTTTGGGTGGCTTTGCTGGCAAAGAAAGACCAGCTTTATCTCTACCAAGAAGAGTCTGCAAAGAACTTGCTAACTGTGGAACCCAGGACCACCACGCTACAGAAAGAACGCTGGTTAACCACCATCTCCAGAGAACCTCCCAAGCCAGCCCGCTATGGAAGCAGTAGGGGAACTATGGTCTCATGATTGAAAATGGTCCCTATAGGCTCATAGGGAATGGCACTATTAGGAGGTGTGGCCTTGTTGGAGTAGTGTGGTCTTATTGGAGGAAGTGTGTCACTGGGGACAGGCTTTGAAGTTTCCGGAGCTCATGGCAGGCCCAGCGGCACTCTCCCTTCCTGTTGTCTGCTGATCTGGATATAGAACTCTCAGCTCCTTCTCCAGCACCCTGTCTGCTTGCTTGTCGTCATGCTTTTCCCACCGTGATGACAATGGACTAAACCTCTGAACTGTAAGCCAGCCCCGATTAAATGTTTTCCTTTAGAAGAGTGGCCGTGGTCAAAGAAAATAGACACCCTAACTAAGACAGGAAAGCCAGGAGGTGGAGACACGTAGACACTGCCCACCGCAGTCCTGGTTTACATTACCTTTTCTTTGGAGAGCTCCAGAAGCTAACACCCACTGTTTTATCCCCGCTGGTCAGACACACGGAGCTATTAGTTCCCCAAGCCAAGCTGTCTGCTCCCTTCCAGTAGGCTGAATGCAGACACCAGGTTTTGCCCATCCTGCTTCTCATTCTCCACCATTGTCGCCCCCTATAGACCTCAGGCTCTGCCCCTTATAGCTCTCAAGTCCCCCTCCCCCTCGTCTGCCTGCTTCTCTCGGGCATCCATGACCCCCAAACCAAGGCTGAGTATTAATAAAAGATACACAAAGCTGGGTGTGGCGGCACAGGCCTTTAATCCCAGCACTGGGGAGGCAGAGGTAGGTAGATCTCTGAGTTCAAGGCCAGTCTGGTCTACAGAGCAAGTTCCAAGACAGCCAGGGCTACACAGAAAGAACCTGTCTCGAAAAACCAAACCAAAACAAAAGGTGATGATTCTGTAAGCCCCTAAAGGTTCCAAACAATGAGAGAAACCAAGTGGATTCCTATAGACGGTGTTTAATGTACCCGTCTTCTCTCAGGCTCCGTTCGCGTGGAGGTCATCGACTGCATTGTTGTGTCACTCGGCAGCTGCCCAAGGGGACAGGCGCTGTGTCTGCTCCAGAGATGGTGCCAGTTGAAGATTAAATGAATACCTCGTGGCCAAGATTCCCAAGGCAAGGTGATAAATATGTCCCCACAGCTTTACAAAGCAAAATACTTCTTGACGCGCTGTTGCGGGGTGCAGGAAAAGTTAAATGGGGTATGAGAAATGCCCAAACTTAAACCCCACAGGAGTCTGAGTCCCTTGTCTCGGTGTCCTACAGCACTGGCCTCCTGGTGTGGCAGTTCTCTACACCCCCCCCACCCCCACACTACCACCATCATCACCTCCTACCCTAAGCCAACTCCTCTCCTGGAGACTGACACTGACCCCAAATTTCCTGCCACCATGTTAAGGGCACCCCTGAAACTCTAGTTCATCCCCTGGTGAGGCAGGTGCTGCCTGGTAGTCCGTGTTCCACAACCTGCTAAAGCCCAGAGCCACCGAGGTGACAGTGCCTGATACAGAACCCAGCTGGACTGCTAGGAGACCACAGTGTACCTGCCCGCTGTGGCCTGGGAGAGGCACTTCCGTTTATCAGCTGCTGGAAGAGACAGCCATTCCAGGAAGGGGGCCTGCCAGGCTGTGCTCACCCCAAACCAGGCCGAACAGGCTCTGTATAGATGCCCCATGGCAGTGGTATCCTTTCAGGCCTGAGGGCAGCCATGAGCGGGTCAATGGGTCCTGGGGAGAAGGGGAGGCGTAGAGAGGGAACCTGCCCAGTATGCTAAGGTGTGGCTAACCACCACCAACCCTTCTCTGAATACTGCTCTCAGGGTTTTGCCTTTCCTGGACCATACCATCACCCCAGCTGCCCATCAGAATTCCAGGGAGACCCTACAGGGGGGCACTGCCCATTACAGGAGTACACAATCAAGGCTTGAGAGCTGATGCTCAGCCAGGGCTGGACCAAGAATCCTGCCCTGCGGAGCCTTTTGTTGGTCACGCAGGAAAGCCACAAGTTCGGTGATGTTCCAGAACCCATTGTCATGGGTGTGCAAGTCTCCCCTTCGCCTGCTTCCCCAGCCCTTCACAAAGCAATGCTGTTCACTTGATACTGGCCCGAATATTCACACCACTGTAATTGGCAAGTGCCATATTTGAGGAAGTTTTCTCTCTACAAAGCTAGCCATCGTCAGGGCATCACATACCACCCATCCACAGCAGCCTCGGCCTGGGTGCCCCTGTCCGCTCATGCATGCTCTGTTAGAGATGCTTGCACTGCTGTAAGAAGAGACAGAGACAAGGCTAAGAGAGAAAATGGGGCAAAACTCCTGCACCTGTATGGTGGCATGCCAGGTGCTGTGCCCTGTACTGTGACAATAATTCACTCACTGCTCACAAAGACCAGGGAGCTTAAAAGTGAAGTCACCCAGCTGCCCTGATGCATGGAGAGGGGAGAAAACCTGCCTTGGGGTCACATAGCCATGGCACAGCAGGCCTGGCTGGACAGTCAGGGCAGAACCTAATCCTAGCCCTGAAGGGGGAATCCCATGGGACACCCCTCCACCCCACCCCATGTCTTCTCACTAGCCTGGACCTCCTCAAGTAAGTCAGGCTGGTTGGCCAGCAAGACCCAGGGACCCCCTGTCTCTGCCTCCCCAGCACGGGGATATCAGGCATGTATTACCATATGGGTTTTAAAGAATCAAATTTAGATCTGCAAGCATCTGCAACAAGAACTTCACTGGCCAAGCCCTGAATGGGGCGTCTAGATTGACATCCAGACCTTGCATGCCCAGGGAGAACTAAGAGAGGAAGATGGCCTCCAGGGAGGCTGGTTAACCTAAGGAACTTGTGCTGGCTAGTTTTATGTCAACTTGATACAAGTTAGAGTCACCCGAGAAGAGGGAACTTCAGTTGAGAAAATGCCTCCATGAGATCCGGCTGTAAGCAAGCCTGTAGGGCATTTTCTTAGTGAAGGATGGGAGGGGGCCCAGGCCATTGTGGGTGGGGCTATCCCCTACCCTGAACTGGTGGTCCTAGGTTCTATAAGAAAGCAGGCTGAGCAAGTCATGAGGAAGAAGCCAATTAAGTAGCACTCCTCCATGGCCTCTGCATCAGGTCCTGCCTCCAGGTTCCTGCCCTGTCTGAGTTCCTGCCTTGGTTTCCCTCAGTGTTCTGTTACTCCTGATATGTAAGTCAAATAAACCCTTTCCTCCCCAAGTTGCTTTTGGTCATGGTGTGTCATCACAGCAATGGTAACCCTAAGACAGGACTCAATCAGATGGAGAACAGAGAGCCCGCTCTGGGGAGAGAGAATTCTGGATGCTGACTTAGAGGAGCTGAGAACTGGAGAGTCAGAGAAGGGGCAGCCTCAGCACCCCTCCCAAAGACGCTAGGCCTCTGCCTCGAGCCTCTCAGCTTGGCTGGTGCAGGCAGCAGGGAGGAGAAGTGGGAAGGCAGAGAAAATAGGCTGAGTTTCCAGTTCCTGCCATGGGCCAGGCCCCTCACCATGTCTGCAGAGCCCTGGGGTTCCCATAATACCCTTTGAGGACACCCCCCCCCCCCCCCGGCCCTGCCAGCTTCTCTCTCCTGCTTTTGTTCCTGCACCTCTCTGCCAGGCCACAGAGAACTGAGTGCTGCCAGGCTCTGATCCCCCTTGCTCCTGGACCCCCCATCAGATCCTGTCTGAATTCAGTGATGGCTGATGGCGCAGCTGCTAATTAGCATGGTGACCTTGAACAAGCCTCTGGGGCCCTCTCAGACAGAACGGAGTCGTGAAGGTCACCTGGCTGCAAAACCTTTTAAGCAAATGAAGGACCCGGGCTCAGCAAGCCCTACATTAACATGCTTTTGCAATTTCAGCCTTTGCTGCTCCCACGGTCCTCAAATGATGGGTGAAGAAATGGAGGCCCAGAGAGGTGAAGTGACTCACCAAGGACACACAGCAAGAAACTCCCTTGTGGTGTCTCCCCACCTACACCTGGGGCCAAGCTCACAGGAGAAGTTTGTGGCTTGGATTTTATATCCTGGGAGCCCAGCCCCTCCCCCCTGCTCCCCAACTCATACACCTTTCACAGATAAGGAAATTGAGTATGAAGACACTAACCCACCTGCCTAAGGGGACTCACATTGGAGGCTGGAACCTGGCTCCAAGCCTCTTCATTCCTAACCCCTTAAGCCATCTCCCCGATACCCACCCTAGGCTCTGAGGCTGGGTCAGTCTGTCCCAACCTACAAACTTCCCTGCAACCGCTACCGAGGCATCTCCCCACCTTAGTGCACCATGAGGTTGCAACAGCCTGGTCCGCAAGTCCCTAGCTGCCCCGGCGTCTCCTGAGCTCAGCTCCTCCTCACAGAGGAGAGAGGGCAGACACTCTCCTTGCCTCCCCGGTGGTTGGCAGAGCAGCCGCGGCACCCGCCTGCTGCCTGGCTGATGGAGAGATTAATCCTAAGCCCTTCCCGTCAGCACCCCCACCCCCCACCCCGGGCAGGACCATGCTGGCTGTCCCTGTGGACTTGGAGCACCAAGTCCGCTGCTGAGGCAGGACAGCTGGCCCAGCTCCCAGCAGCATCCGGACCTTCAGCTCTCAGGAGGAAGGAGGACTTCGGGGGTCCTTCTAGAAAGCCACTCTGCACCCCTGCTCTTCTGAAGGTTCAGAATGAATAAACTTCTGCTCTTTAGAGGGGGCCGGAGAAGGACAGAACACTGACTCTACCAGGGATGCTATGTTGGCAGTTGGTTTTGGTTTTGTGTTTTTTTCCCCCCCCCCCCACCTCTCTGACACAAAACTGCCTCTTTCCTGATCACTGAGAAATGGGCTCCCCATGCCCGGCAGAGAACAGGCTGGGGACACACTTCCTAAGACAAGCGGTGAGTTGAACTTCAGAGGAACTTGTTTGTTCTGGGGTGGGATGTTCTAGAGCCGTGACTGGGCTGAACAGCTTGGCAGAAGGGATGTTTGGAGTGAATGACTTCCCCCTGGCTCTGGAGGAGCTTTGCTGGCCAGCTGTTAGGCAGAGCAAAAACTGCAAAATCAGATCTGTTCAGTGGAAGGAGATGGGACAAGATTCTGGCTCCGGACAGAACCCCAGGCCAGGAAGCCGAGTCCCGGGTTGTATTCAGATGTGCCGTGTGACCTTGGACGAGTCCCTTCAGCACTCTAGGTCTTAGGTTTTGCTCTGGAAATTGAGAAAGCTTGGAAAGAACTCCCTGGATTTCAACACACTCCTCTCTCTGCGGGTTGCATTCCGCCCACTGGCTGTGTGCTGTGAACCAAGTAACGCATGCAAAATAACAGTGCACTGCAGCGCAAGTGTGGAGCCCAGCGGGCCTGACTCGCTCCTCGCTGTCCGCCGCTGGCATCCAGCAGGCTCGGAAACTGAAAGGCACTTTCATTTCCATTGGCTCCTGATTGGAGTGCCTCTCTCAATGGAAGGTTATAGGTGCCTGGAGAGAGCTCTGGCTGGAATGAATAGTTGAAGAAATGGTCACACAATAGGGACGATGAGACATATTATAGAAATAGTTTTTTTTTTTTTTTTTTAAAATGTGAGCGAGCTAAAATAAAAAACGCTTGTCTTAAGCGGAGCCCCTAAATAGGTCTGTGATGTAGAGAGCATTTAGAAGCCTCTTTGCTCTGTGGATAAAAAACTACAGCCCAGTGACGGACGTAACCACCTCAAGGTCACACAGCAAGGCTGGCTGAGGCAAACACAAGATGCATGTCTGAGTAGGAAAGAGTTGTCCAAAGTGGGAGGTGTCCTCCACCCTCATAGCAGGGTCCTCTGAGAGAGAAAAGCGGTGTGTGTGTGTGTGTGTGTGTGTGTGTGTGTGTGTGTGTGTGTGTGTGTGTGAAGCTTTCATGGGGAGCTCCTGAGAGCCAGGTGACTGACAAGGCTGTGGTGGTCCCTGGCTCCTGAGCATTTGGTGGCTGCCCCTCATTGTGTCCTACTGAACTGCGTTTGCTAAACAGTGGGCAAGATGCAGGGCTCAGTTTCCTCATCCGCAAAGGTGAGCTGCGCCTGTCTGCCTCATGGGATGGTTGGCACGAGTCTGTTAAAGGAACTGGGTGTGCTGGAGCTCCGAGAAGTGACCATTATGGGCACTGCATGTGTGTTGTTCCTGACCTGACCTGGTTCTGTGTCAACAGTGTGGGAACTCAAGCTTCCCCACTCACACAGGCCAAGCAGAGGGTCCAGAGAGACTGAGTCATTCCTCTGTGGATCTCCGCAGAGAACACGGCCACACTGCCCCCCACCCCTGCAGGGTTGACACAAGCTTTATCATTTGAGAAGGGAGAGGGGAAGCCATATGCTCAAGACCACACAGTCTGGGATGGCACAGTTCAGGACCCATTATTCACATCTCCATCCACAAGATGATGTCTGTGTCAGAAAGACAGAGATGTGCATGAAATACCACCTCCTTAGTGTAGTGGGCAGCACATCTGTATCCTAGATGTACATGTTTCCACAGGGGTAGGGTTGGGTCCAAAGGCATGGCCCAAGCATCTGGTAGCTGCCCAGTGAACAAGAAGTAAATAGAAGGTTCAGAGATGGCTGGAGCAGCTGCAGCTACAGTACACAAATGCAACAATGTTTGTACTACTGAGACTCATCCTCTCTTCCTTCTCTTGTTCTTCTTCCTCTGGAGGCAGACAAGGGAGCCCGCTGCTCCCTGGCCCCGCAGTCTGTGGCAATGCCCATGTCTTCCAGAGACAGGCACCTGCGTCCTGGACACCATCACTTTGGCTCCTGCAGCCCCTTGAACCAGCTCTGGCCTGGTCCAGAGCCTCCTCAGTCAGTCAAGGGCCTTTACTACCGCCGGGCCCGGAAGGTGGGCACCCTGGACGCCTCTCCAGAGGCCGACTTGAAGAAGGAGATCCTGGTGAACGTGGGTGGCCGGCGGTACCTGCTGCCCTGGAGCACCCTGGATGCCTTCCCGCTGAGCCGCCTGAGCAGGCTCCGTCTGTGTCGCAGCTACGAGGAGATCACACAGCTCTGTGATGACTATGATGAGAACAGCCAGGAGTTCTTCTTTGACCGGAGCCCCAGCGCTTTCGGGGTGATTGTGAGCTTCCTGGCCGCGGGAAAGCTGGTGCTTCTGCGGGAGATGTGCGCGCTGTCCTTCCGGGAGGAGCTGAGCTACTGGGGCATCGAGGAAGCCAACCTGGAACGCTGCTGCCTGCGCAAGCTCATGAAGAAGCTGGAGGAGGTGGCCGAGCTGCGGCGGGAGGAGGCGATGCAGCGCCAGCAGCAGCGCCAGACCTGCCACTCGGAAGTGCACGCTTCACGGTGGGCCCGCAGCATGAACCAGCTGCGAGAGATGGTGGAGGACCCGCAGTCAGGGCTGCCTGGGAAAGTCTTTGCCTGCCTCTCCATTCTCTTCGTGGCCACCACGGCTGTCAGTCTGTGTGTGAGCACCATGCCAGACTTCAGGGCTGAGGAGGACAAGGTGAGTGGTTGCCCATCACTAAGCAGCCCAGGGAAGCTTAGGAAACCATGGAAATAGTTTTTTTTTTTTTTTTTTTTTTTGAGACAGGGTCTCATGTAGTCCAGGCTGGCCTCAACTTGCTCAAGGAAGCCTTAATCCTCAGATCTTCCTGCCTATACTGGCTGAATGCTGGGATTACAGGTGTGCACCACCAAACCCTGTTTTATGTAGGGCTGGGAATTGAATCTGGGGCCTCCTGCATGCTAGGCAAGCTCTCTAACCACTGAGCTATAGCTCCAACCCTTTTGTTGTTGTTTTAAGTAGAGGGCTAGAGAGATCTGTTGGCCCCTGGCATCCTCCTCTCCTTCTCCTTTTCTTTCTCCTTCCAGCCACACAGCCTCACTAGCAGCCACAGAGTTAGAAGGAAAGAAAGGAATATAGCATAGAGAAAGACAAAAGCCCAGAGGCAAAAGGTAGATGGGATAATTTAAGAAAAGTTGGCTAGAAACAAGCCAAGCTAAGGCCGGGCATTCATCTGTAAGAATAAGTCTCCAAGTGTTTATTTGGGTGGGAGCTGGGTGGCAGGCCCCACAAAAAGTTTAAAAAACAGACAAACAAACAAACAAAAACAACAACAAAACCCACCAACTACACACAGGTAGAATGTTTCCTCTGGGTCAAGGTCACTTTAGTTTAAGATGGTTTAATAAAGATGGAGGAAAAGAAGAAAGAGCAAGGAACAAGAGAGGAAGGAGAGGGGCCAACCACCTCTCTTTCTCCTATTTATTCTCTCTGCCTGCCAGCCACGCCTATCCCTCTCCTGCCTAGCTATTGGCTGTTCAGCTCTTTATTGAGCCAATCAGGTGTTTTAGACAGGCAAAGTAACACAGCTCCACAGAGTTAAACAAATGCAACAGAAAAGAATGCCACACATCTTTGCATCATTAAACAAACACATCTTAATCTTCCACAACGCCTGTGCACTCCCACACTCTCTTTGCAGAGAGCTGTGAGACACCAAGGACCCCAGGAGCCATATGGGCCATGTCCTACTCTACTTTCCGTGGCTGGGATAAACATCCTGATCGAACACAGTTGGAGAGGAAAGGGTTGATTTGGCTCCCCCTTCCAGATTGCAGGCCATCAGTGAGAGAAGTTAGGGCAGGAAGTCAAGCAGGAACCTGAAACAGGAACCAGAGAGGAGGAGGAGGCCACTTACTGGCTGGCTACTGTTCAGCCAGCTTTCTTACACAGCCCAGGGCCCCCTGTCTAGGGATGGTGCCACCCACAGTAGGCTGGGCCCTCCTACATATGTTAGCGATGCCTGTAGGGCAATCTGATCAAGGCAATTCCTCAGTTGAGACTCTCTGAGAGTCTCTCGGCTTCGTAAAGTTGACAGCTGAAGCTAACTTCAAAAATGAAACAGGAGCCTACATTTGTTAGGAGGGTGGCTGAGGGCTTGAAACCAGAACGAGACAGTTCCCTAAGGTAGAACATTGTTTCTCTTCAACTTCACAGTACAGCCCTTATCAATGGACCCTCCATCTATATTAGATTATAATGGACAAAGAAGGCAGATTTAAAAGACACACACATACTCACACCACATGCATACACATGTACACACACACACACACACACACACACACACACACACACACACACTGCTTTCTTATAGATGTGCCCCACACAATACAGTAGGACCAGAGAACATTCCAGTTAGAGAACCACCACGAGCAAATATTTGTTGAACAAAATGTGTTTCATCTGACTGACCAAAGTTTTCTCCGAAAGAAAAAAGATATATAACATTCAAATCCTCAACCTTTCAAACAGCTGATCCCTGCCCAGAGACTGTAGTCGGCAATCAGGATCCCCCCCTACCCCCACCAGTCTTTAGCACAAAACATGCGATGGAAAAGCCTGCTTGCCCATGGGAATATCTACACGTGGATTTTGCTTCTGAAAATTAGGGCAGAGTAAGCCGTGTCCTTACCCCCGTCAAGGACACCGGGTCGCAGCTGCTGAAGAATCACACCTGGTCTCCACACATGTGTCCTTCTTCAGGGAGAGGAGACAGTGTGGGGGAGCCAGGAGTTTCCCTGTGCAGAGGGGTGAGGGTGTTGCAGGGCCTAACGCTTTGAAAATTTCCAAAGTATAAACCCAAGCTGGGCTTAACGCTACTGGGGAAATCAAGTTAGGGGCAGGTCACCAGTTTGCAGTCCTGAGCAGCCCAGAGCTATCCCTGAGAAACTGTTCCATGGGATAAGAGGGATTCATGTCCAGAGACAGTCACAGTGTCCTTGTGCTTACTCTCTGGTGGAGCCACCTTTGATAGGCTGCCCTAATACACCCCAAAGAGAGTCACAGCCTCTGGAGAGTCTATGCTCTTGCTGGGGATCATAATTCAGAGAGGCTGAGGCCAGGCAATCTTAGGATCTTTGTTCTTTCAAGACAGGGCCCCGACATTTACATAAAAAGCGGTGTTCTCTCTAATGTATGCCTTGTGTTTCTTATTTGTCCTCAGGGGACAGCAGGCAGGCAGAGAGTGGCTCTATTTAGCCAGCCAGCTGCTAAGGCTGGCCAGCTTCTCCTGAGGAGAGCGATAAGGCATGTCTATTCAATGACACCCTGAGGAACTCAGACCTGGGGATGTGACCCATGCCCCGATTCCTTTGCCCTGCCACAGCTGCCTTCTGGCTATGCTGCGCTTGCTGGGCCATAGGTACCTTGGTTGATGATCTATGTGATGTTTCCACTTGTTGGCTGGGCCCTCCTACATGCATTAGTGATGCCTGTAGGAGCTCAGTTGGTAGAGTCCTTGCCTGGCCTGCCGGGAGCTTTGATCCCTAGCAGTGACTAAACCTAGCGTGGTAGCACACACCTGTAATCCCAACCCCGGGAAGGTGGAGGCAGGAGGGTCAGGAGTTCAAGGTCCTCTTTGGCTACAGAGAAAGTATGGAATGCTGTGTCCGTTCCTGTATGTGTATTTTCATTCCTCTTGGGTGTGTGTACATAGGTGTGACCTTGCTGAGTCTTGAGTGTGAGTTTAACCCCCGGAGAAGCTGCCAGGTTGTTCCTTAAATTCAAGTTCCCTGCAACCCAGTCCAGCAGGGTGTGTGTGTGTGTGTGTGTGTGTGTGTGTGTGTGTGTAGGTCAAAGGGCAATTTTTTCCCCTTCCATCATGTGGGTCTAGGCAGGTTGTCAAGCTTGGCTTGGCGGCAAGAGCTTTAACCCACCCAGCCATTTTGCCAACCCTTCTTTTAATCACAGTTTTCAGGTACACATATCAAAACTTCTTAAAAAAAAAAAAAAAGACACTCCCCCCCACAACCCTACTCCTGTCAATCTAGACTATTTCCGTCACCCCAGAAGTTCCCCCGGGCCCCTTTGCAGTCAACCCAGGGTTCCCTGGGCAGCTGTTTTGATGGGTGGAGTCCTGGAGGTGAGCCTCGCCCAGTCCCCAGTGTTGCCGATCTGTGGTCTCTGGCTTGCTAGGCCCCATGTGCCTGTGTGGTCCTTTCATTTCTACGGAAGCCTCCTCGGGCCTGGCTCACCTTGCCTCTAGGAATGGGCAGCACTTTCCTCACGACCACCAGGAACAAGGCACACAGCACGGAGGCTAATTCCCACCCTTTGCCTGGGATCGGGGAAATCCCTGAACCAGATTTTTCTGTGCCCAAATCCAGCAGGATGAGGACAATGTGGACCAAAGTGCCCCCCGCCCCAATGGCCAGGTCTTCCTCAGAGAGGAAGAAGTGTTTTGTTTTTGATATTTGTCCTTCTCCCTTTCCTTCAAATATTGGCAGGGCTGGATTGGACAGCATCACATCCTCAGCTGGAGCCCCTACATCTGTCCTGGGTATCCCAGCATGGCTGCCGAGATGCCAGCTCTCGAAGGCAGGTACCAGGCTGGTTAGGATGCAGGGCAGAGCAGGATGCAGGCGGAGTGATTAGGCAGAGCCAGCCTGCTGCAGTGCAGGGAGGCCGGCAGCCCAGACCGGGGGAGGGAGGACAGGGTGTACATGGCTGGAATACCCAAACACCAACACCGGAGGCGGAAGCTCGGTCTGCTGGGCCCTCCAGAGTCACCTTCCCAGCTGCTGGTCACTGATCTGGAGATGGTATCCCAGGTCTCAAGAGCCTCTAAAGCTAAGGAAAATTCCCAGATGTCTGTAAGAAACAGACCTTGTAGGAAAGGCAGCCCAGAGTCTAAGTCTTCTGAGGATTCTGAAGTCAAGGGGGGAGATAACCCCAAGATCCCATGCCTAAGCTTGGCTCCAAGGCTTTGCATTCATGATGGACCCAAGAATCTGTATTTGTAGCTGGCACCCTGGTTGTGTTCCAGGCTCTCTTCATCAAAAAATGGAGCCCAGAGACAGATAGGGACCCCCTCTAAGATTGCACAGCACGTTTATGGAAAGCCTGGAGAATCCAGCCCCAAAGCTCTGAGGTTATCCAGGGTCCTGATGCAAATGTCCGAGCAAGCCCTCCCAGGGGGTTGGAAAACATTTTCTACTTCCTATGGAATGCTAGCCTCCTGCTGGGTAAGCAGGCTGCTGTCTGGGACAGTGTGTCATGTGGGTATCTGCTGGGTTCAGCATCTCCATAGCTGCTGTAGATGTGATTCCATCCTTTACTGCAGTCCCTTAGGGCAATGGCTCCTGAAGTCCAAGGAGGACCAGTAACTTCCTGAGTGAGTGAGGGTGTTGATGCGGATGTGACCCTTGGCCACACACACTCTGGGCTTCATCTCAATGGCATCCTTTTGCTCTGACCCTGGAAGGGACCAGATGGAAGTCAGCGAGAAAACTTCCCAGCCCTGGGCAGGCCAACAGGGCTTGAAGTGCTTTGGCCATTTTCTTCTTCTTTTTTTTTTTTTTTTTGATGGACAGACAAAAACATTTCAATTTAGGACTCCTTGGGCTTGGACACTGGAAGCAATTTCTTTTTTCACTTCAGAGCATTTAAATCTTAAACCCCCACAGTTGTCAACATTTTGCTTTGTCCACAGGCACGTGGCTCAGTCATATATTTGCTCATGGGCTTGCTGGCCAACCGGCCTAGCCTACTTGGCAAGGCCCAGGCCAGTAAGAGACCCTGTCTCAAAAGAGAAAACAAAAATCCCATAAAACAAGGCATACAGAGTCTGAAGAATGACAGCCCCGATTGTTTTCTGGCCATCACAGTACACCTAGGAAGGCTTTCAGAGGGAGGCCATTTCCTCACACCCCACATAGTCACCATGGAGCTACTTCACTGTGCCTTCACCAGGGCCGGCTGTCCCTCTGAAGCCACGAGCCCAGGGAAATCCTTCCTCCCTTGGGCCGCTGTGCCGTTGTGCCAGGGTCTGAGGAAAGCTGACTAACTAACCCATTGCTTCTGTGGCGCTCTCACCCCAGGGAGAATGCACGAGAAAGTGTTACTACATCTTCGTGGTGGAGACCATCTGTGTGGCCTGGTTCTCCCTGGAGTTCTGTCTGCGTTTTGCCCAGGCCCGGAACAAATGTCAGTTCTTCCGCGGGCCCCTGAATGTCATCGACATTCTGGCCATCTCTCCATACTACGTGTCTCTTGTGGTGTCTGAGGAGTCCCCGGAGGCAGGCGAGAGGCTGAGCGGCAGCTCCTACCTGGAGAAAGTGGGGCTGGTCCTGCGTGTTTTGCGGGCGCTCCGCATCCTCTATGTGATGCGCCTGGCCCGCCACTCGCTGGGGCTGCAGACGCTGGGCCTCACCGTACGCCGCTGTGCCAGGGAGTTTGGCCTTCTGCTGCTCTTCCTGGGTGTGGCGGTCACCCTCTTCTCCCCTTTAGTCTACGTGGCCGAGAATGAGTCTGGAAGGGTCCTAGAGTTCACCAGCATCCCCGCATCCTACTGGTGGGCCATCATCTCCATGACCACGGTGGGTTATGGGGACATGGTCCCTCGCAGTGTGCCGGGCCAGATGGTGGCTCTGAGCAGCATCCTTAGTGGTATCCTCATCATGGCCTTCCCAGCCACATCCATCTTTCACACCTTCTCCCATTCCTACCTGGAGCTGAAGCGGGAGCAGGAGCAGGTCCAGGCCCGCCTCCGGCGTCTTCAGAACACAAACTCGGCTAGCGAAAGGGAGCTTCTGAGCGACGTGGATGATCTGGTCCCTGAGGGCCTGGCCTCCCCTGTACGCTACGTGTAATGCCCACCATCTTAGGAATGTGCAATACTATCAACCCATCCCATGGCTGAGACAAGCTCCCGCACCTCTCCTCTCCCGTGGACCATCTGGGGGGGTGTCCTCAGAATACTGACTTCCAAAGCAGGAAAGATGCCAGGCCACAACAACATTGGTGTGATCCTGGGCACATCCCTTGTCCTTCCCCAGATCCCTGCCAGCCACTGGGCACAGCTCATCTTGGCAGGCTAGGTCAGTGTCCCTGGGTTCTTTTCCCTTCCTTGCATACTCTGTGATAATCCACCCTGGGTTCTGGATGCTCACTGAACTGACTACCACTAGTAGCCAAATCCGGAGTCTGCAGATTTCCATCTTCTCCCCTAGACTCCCTGTCCTGGTCCATGCTACCCCTGGGAATCAGAGAGCTTGGGCCCTGAGACCTACTGAAAGCTCCACATAGCCTGCAAGGCTTCCAAGAGGATCATGTGTTCTCTTGCTTCCTGCCACCGCCAACCAAATAATTTCCAAATGTGGTGGAAGTACTCACTGTTCTGGAAGCTCTTAGCCAAGAAGGCAGTCCTGGCCATTATAGCAAATCCTGCCAGGGTCTCATGGTGGCAAGCCTGCTGTCACCTATGGCATGCCTGGAGACTTGGGCTGCCGGGCTGCCTGCAAGGACCCAGTTGGCCAGCTGGACTCTTGGTGGACACTCTCTAGTTGTACAGCTCTTAGCCTTGACAAGGGGACTCTAAGAACTGTACAACGTCCTTTCAGAGAACAACAGCACCAGGAGGAACCTCAGCCTGCCTGGTTCTAGCTCCCTGCATCAATCAGACCCCCACTGATGGAGGATGGGCATTCCTGGTGTCTGTGTGCATCCATGTATCCACGTGCTCATCTGTCAGCAGACTCAGCCCTTGGATCCACAGAGGAGGCAGAATGCTAGAAACGTGACTTACAGAGACAAACCAGAAAGAAGCCGAGACCTCTGAGCAGCCAGTGGCCCCAAAGTTTCCCAAGACACAGGTCTAATGTTGGAGGGACGCTCGGAGGAACAGAGTAGGCTAGGATAAGGAGGTGATGGATCTCAGAGCCTTACAGAAGACAGCACTGTGACTGTAAGGATGACGGTCCAAGCGGAAGTGGGAGTGTCGTCCGTCCAGGAATGACCGGTGGGCTCACCTTCTCCACGTCACTACCGATCTGGCACAGCACACCTGGAAGACATCTCTGTGGCACTTCTCAGGAGTGACAGACACAGCTGCACCGTCATTCAGTATTGACTGTAAGGTCATTGGAGAAAGTATGGGGGACACAAGGAAGTGTCAGTGAGATAGGCTGGCCCTTGTGAATCTGACATGGCTCATGCGTGGGTACAGGCAATACTGCAGCCCTGCTCACGCGTGCCTGGCTGTTGGTCCTGCCAGTACTGGGCTGAGCCTGCTGTGTGCCAGGCTCACACTTCCCCTGACTGCAGCACATAGCCAATGACTACCCGGAGGAACCCCAACATCTAACCTAAAGTACATCTTGCCCACGTGGGAACTCTCACATTCTCTGACTCCCCCCAACAGATGTGTGTGTGCACGCACAGGTGCACACGCGCGCACACACACACACACACACACATACACACACACCCCTCCATCTCTCTAGACCTCAAGGTCTGGAGAGCACCCTTAGTTCTTACCAAGTTTACATGTCTCAAGCAAGCCTTTTGTATCACACTAGGAGAGCTGATGCCTTGAGGAGGCCCAAGGCATGCTGCTCTGCTCCAGGATTCAGTTAGCAGAGTCCTCGGGGTATTCTGGGAGCATATCAAAAGTAACTATACTAATCTTTTATGCCAGGTTAGTTTTTGTTTGTTTTGAGACAGGCTCTCACAGTGTAGTCCAGGCTATCTTTGAACATGTAATCCTCCTGGCTCAGCCCTCTGGCTCCCAAGCTGACATTTTTATAGCTGTCATTAGGCAAAACACTAAACAGTCAGTTTTTCCTTTATGCTCTTAAGAAGAAGACAGCATGGGTACCAGCTGAGGCCTGGGGGGTTCACACTGTCTATGACTGTGGGCAGTTCCCTTTGCCTCCCTGTAAACTGCTGTGGGCCAGATTTGTGGTTCTCTAGCTGATGTTCCACAGAACACTCTTGGGGGCTGCTGTTGTCAGGGGAAGGCCAGCCAAAAGGACAGAGGGCCCATTGACCGATGATGGTCGCACACTCACAACATCTAAAAGAATACAAAAATGTCTAAACAGCTCCTCTCCTCCAGGGCAGGGTTATCCACAAATCACTGTTCTGAGGTGTTGTGCTCACCCTGGAACCAGAGAAGAAGCCACAAGGGGACCTGGCCCCTTGTCAGATCTGCATCGATCCCTCTCTTCTGACTGAGGCCTCATCTGCATCACATGCTTGGGGTGATGTTTCCCAGCAGCGTGTCTGGCTCTCACCAGGCATCCCACAGTTCTCTGTGCCACCCAAATGTACCAGAGCAAAAAAAAAAGTCAAAAGTCAGCATTAGCTGAACCCATCAAAGACACTGAATATCTTTATCATCTGCACACATATACCCAGTTAAAGTTCTCACTAAATAAGACTTGGAAAATTGGAAGGGATGGCTTGATGTGGGGCTCAATTGAATGCTTCCATTTCGTTTTTGTTTTTGTTTTTTTCTCCTGGGTAACATCCTGGGAGATGGGTCTAAGTGGTCCAGGTCTGGCTTTGCATCTCTTTTGATATGATTGGATGGGTGGAGCAACAAGCATGTTGCTAGGTAGTGTTTTCATCCCCATTGGTTGACAGGAGCCTAGTGATCTGCAGCGGCTGTGGCTGTAGCCAAAGGGGACCCTTGACTTTGAGCCACCTTCAGGCTGTCATAGATGTGGCTCCCAGAGGGAGGCACAGTGTTGATTGAAGGTCTTTCTAGCCACTCGGGGTTGAGCCCAGCAGGAGAAAGATGAGTTAGTTCTTCAATGAAAGGGACTCAAGGAGGATCCTGACTTGGGGCTGTGCCAAGACCAAGGGCTCCTTCCAGAGCTTCTAGGGCTGCACCATGGCAGTCCCATCAAAAGATGAGCAGTGTGTGCCTGAAGGGCAAATGTGCCTCTGGATGCAAATGCACTTCAGAGGGTAGAGTGTCGCTGATTTCATTTGTTTCTCAAAGGAAGACTCTCCAAACAGGGTAAGGAGCTCTAATATCAATCAACGCTCTCTTGGAAGATGGAGAGACCAAGGTTCAGAGAGGGAAAACCACCTGCCTAAGGCCACACAGCTGGCTCATCTTATTATAGTCAAGTATCTTGACTCCTAGCAGAGTCTTTTCTAGTCCATTCTGCCTCTACCCTGGGCTCATGGGAATCAGGGCCTGTCCTCGGAGAATGTGCTTGAGAGGAAAAGAAAGCAGCAGTTTGCCACACCGTCCTGAGCTGAGGGGCAGAGAGACTGTGGAGTGTCCTGGGCAGATTGTACAACATGAGACATGGGAATGGACTTGCCGGACCTGCTCTCCCTCACATATCCCATGGAGATCCTGCAGGAGGCCACCTAGTCCTTCCCAGCATGGGCAACTGGGCTTCTAGGAGCTCACTGCAACCACTTCTAACCTGGAGGTGAACTGGGAAGGCACCTCCATAGAGGAACATAGAAAGGGACGCTCCAGCATTCAGTCTGTGGACGGTTTACCATCTCCCAAACCTGGCGGCTCATTCCAGATTCACCTGTCTGCAAAGATCCTTTCCTGCCACCAGATTTCCATCACTCAGGTACCACACCACACCTTTTCCCTTGGTGCACTGTAGGCCCCACTGTGGACACTCTCCACATCTCCCAGTCCTCATAGACACATGTGACAAGGGGACACTTTCTGGGTGGTCACTGGTACCCAGCCTGTGGGTTTGTAATGATTTGTGTGGTGAATATGTCAGATGCCGTGAGTCCCAGCAAATCTCCCGACCCCAGAAGAAAGAGGAAGAGGGGTTACTATCAATGAGGGGTAGTTCCTTTCTTTGGGAGGTGATCCCAGGACACACTATGGAAGAGCAGAGACGGAGGAAGGGGAGGAAGGGCCCAGGGAGAGCTGGCCTGGCCCAAAGATTGAAATAAAGCAGTAACATTAGACCTGCCTACTGCTTGGCTGGCCACATTGAAGGGCCTCTGTGAAGAGAACATATCCTTCTTGCAGGTAAATGAGTCCCCGAGACTCAGCATCCCCAAACCTGGGCAGCTTCACAGATTCTAAAGTGGGACCTTAATGGTCTCAGGGTCCTGCTTTTGTCTTTGCAAGTGTGGACAGGAAGGACCAAGGAGGGGGTGTGACTTAGGAGACACACCCCCAGGTGGGGCACAGCCAGGCTCAGCCCAGCCTCTGGACTCCAGCTCTAGCGCTTCCAGCCCTGGGCGGCCTGCTCTCTGCCCAGTGCCTGTCTTTACGCAGCTTTGACGTCTGGCCAAGGGGCGCCTCCTGGAATACAATGTCGGTTAAAAATAAAACAAGAGGCGCCGGCCCTCCCCTGCAGCAGCCTGCTGCCGAGGACACATGGGGGACTCAGTGCCACCACTTTGGGACCTGCTGTAAGGAGGACACAGCCAAGGAGGCACAGGCACCATGTGACACAAGGCGGGACAGTGTGGGCCCTGAGCTAAAAATAGCCTCCGTTGTATTTGCAGTGACCTGCCAAATGTAGACCCCTGTGGAGCCGAGGTGCCACCTGCACTTTCTGGGGGAGCTTTTGGGACCCTGCACACTTCTGAATTAAACATTAAATGGCATTAAAAAGAGGTACATGATGTCTCTGGTGTATCAGCGCCAGCATCGTCACTGGGGGTCGACCTCGGGGTCATGAAAGGGTTTTCTGAGGGGAGAAGGGTAGGAGCCAGACCACCCATCCCGAGCCATCTGAAAGGCTTAAGTCAGAGTGTAGATAGAAGTCAGGTGTGGTGGCAAACACCTGTAACCCTAGTACTCTGGAGGACCCTCCTAAGTTCAAGACAACACTGGGCTCTATAGAAAATCTGACTAGCCTGGGCTACATAGAGACTCTGAGGCCAGCCTGGGATATATGAAGAATCCCAACTGGTCCTCTATGTCCACAGAGTTAATCTGTGGAGAAGCCTTGAGCAAGAGTGTGTACAACCCTGGCAGCCACCCAGCTCTGCAGAAAGTGGGAGCCAGGACCCCTCACACCCTCTCAAAGCCCAGGAAAAACCATGGGGGAAGGTGTGACCACAGGGAAAACACCCCCCATGCAGTGGCGTGATCCAGCCTGCCGGTCGCTGGGCAGCTGGGTGGGGGAGCTTCCTAAACAGCTGTGTAGACACAGAAAAGCCAAGAGCTCACTGGACAACACCATGTTTCTCTTGTCTGCCGCTCTCCTGACCCAGGGATGGGAACAGCACCCACCGCTTTGAGAACACCCCAGAAATCTCAGGGTGATCTGACTCCAAGTTGAGGAAGCTCCATTCAGACTTCATTAGACAAACAAAAGGAACAGTGTTAGTTCTCAGAACTGAAAATCCGGGCGGACATCAGGAGTGGTTCCATCCAGGGATTCAGCCAATACCATCAGTATCAAACAAGCTCCTTTTCACCGCATCTTCCCTCTGTCTTTCTGGGTATATTACCTTCACGCCTAGGCTTTCCTCCTGGCCACAAGATGGCTTCACCAGCTCCAAATTTCACACTTTCATTCCACCAGGCCCTGAAGAGCAAAAGCTCCCTTTATCCTAGAATCCCAGACACGTCTTCTCACTGGCCTTAAGTGGGTTACATACCAAGCCTAAACCTGACACCAACTGGTTCATGAAGCTTTAGGCTCACCTGGGAGCAGATGCTAGGCTGACATTGAGGACAGTGAGGTCTTGGGAAAATGAGAGGGCTGCTCCACAAGAGAGGGGAGAGAGTGAGGTAGTTATCCATGGGTGAGGACCACACTGCCCATCAGGGATGCTGGGCCCCATGCCTTCACATCTAATCATCACTTAACCTCACCACAGCCGCCTCCTGCTCCGTGAGGAAACTGAGGCACAATGTAGACATCCCAAGGTCATCAGGTGATGGATTAAAGAATTAAGCCCAGTGTGTGTGGCTCTAGCCTCTCGGCTCCTTACTGACCCGCAGAGCCCCCCCTCATCACATGTGTACCCCAGATGGTCCCCTACTGTGGACGCAGAGTCAGCACCGAATTTCCTATGACGGACTGCAGAGCTAAGACTGCTCCTAACAGTAACCGGCGTCTGGGAATGGAGCTCAGTTGGTAGTTTGCCTGGTGTGCATAAACCCTCGGGATGATTCCCAGAACTGGGGGGACTAGCTGTGGAGGTACACAGCTGCAACCCCAGCACCAGGAGGCAGAGCTGGGAGGATCACCACAAGGTCCAAGTCAGCCGGGAATATATAGTCCTAAAAAACAAAAACAAAAACAACCCTGCAAAACAAAACCAAAAAACAAGCTGCCTGCCCAGGGATGAAAATTTAAATCTACACAAAGTCCTGGTACAGACTCTCACAGCACTTTCTTCATGATTGCTGAGATGTCCTTTAGCGGGGGAGTGGACACACACTGGTCCATGCTGGGTGGAGCACTCCAGTCAGTACTTGGAGGTGGAGTTGAGGGTGGAGCCTGACATGTGTGTTGCTAAGGGAACAGGGACAAGGCAGGGGCATCTGGGAAGTCTACCTCTGTCTGGTTCTATTGTGAACCGGGGTCTCTTACTTGACCTGGCAGTTACTGATTCGACGAGGCTGGAGTCCAGGAGATCTCCTTGCCTCTGACTCCCGGCACTGCAAGTGCTTTGCATGTGGAGCTGGGTCCCAGCCCCACCGAGTCCTGTCTAGAGCAGGTTCTGTCCTCACCCAGACACATTTCTGTGAAGAGAGCCCCTACAATGCTGGTGTTCTAATCACAGCTTGTCCGTGCCCCCCTCCTCCCAACTCCCAGGCAGGAGACTCAAAGGGAGGAGACATGACATAAACAGTCTCCCTCCAGGACTGATGGCAGACGGGACCTGAAGACAGTCAGGAGCCAGGAACAGCCCTGTCTACTCCTGGCTGAACCCTACCATCAGCTTGCAGCCTGGATGGCTGGGATCCATATTCACTTGCCACACGGGGGACCTAGGAACTAGGAAGGCAGAGCAGAGCCTTGGTCCCCTGAGTCCATGCTTCTACTGGGTGCATACTCTGCCACTGGAACGGAGATGAAACCCGAGAGACAGACAGCACGATGCAGAGCCTGCTGAGGTCCAGAAAAGTTCCCACAGGCTAGGGCTGTAGGGAAGGGGGCTGGAAGTTGAGGAAGGCACCCAAGAAGCCTTGCAGGAGTGTGCCAGGATAGGTTACATCAGCTCCCAATTTAAATATGCTACTGTCAGCAAAACTTCCCCCCCCCCCCGGGGGGGGGGGGGTGATCAGGCCAAGAAGACATTAACAGACTCCGTCACCCTGAGATAATAGAGTCCAGTGAAGGGAGCTAGGCAGATACTGTGTAAGGTAAAGACAGGCTGGGGAGGGAAGGATCGGCAGGCCCAAAGGTACAGCGAAGGGACAAAGAGTACTTCTTGGCAGATCACAGCAGAGTTAATGTCATTTTGAATAACTTGTTTACTCAGTGATTATGTGATTAATGGGTACCACGGGCTCGGGGACATAAAACCGAGGCAGAGTGGCTGATCCATTTCTGGGCCTGGCTGCCATCACCACTGCGGTAGGAATAGTCCATCAACTTAAGTCGTCTCCCGGGGCAAATAGTGGGTAGTAAGTGGGCTAATGAATAGATGTGGGGTTTCCAGAACCCTCATCTCTGGAAAATCACAAGCATGAGAAATGATTTCAAAAGTGTCAAGAAGAAGGTTACCAGCTTCCTTGTATCGCCTCTCTCAGCAAGAGGCTCACCGAGGCCTTTACCTGGTGGGCTCCTGAGGACTCAATTTTCTGTTGTGGCCCTTCTACCCCCCTGCCTGCTCTCTGACCTTTGCTTAGCCTGATGACCCTGGCTCTACCTAACCTCTCCAAACATGCGGACCTGACTGGGAGGAATGCAGATCTCCACAGCAGCCCAGAGCTGCAGAACAAAGGCAGGGACAGCTGAGCCAGGAGGAAACCAGCAATGACCTCACTTGGTCCTCTTTTTATAGGTCAGCAAAATAGGGCTCAGAGAGGTTGAGTCAAATCCAAGGTCACGGTAAAGAGTCCAGCAGCCCTGGCCGGCTACTGAGATGGGAGAGTACAGACGGCAGGCGGCCCTCACTGTGGTCTTCCAGGAGGCCTGCCTCACCTTGTAAAGATGACCACTTCTATCCTGCAGAGTGCCACACAAGCATGAGGGCCTAAGCTCAGTCCCCAGCACCTAGAGCCAGTGAGATGGCTCAGTAGGCAAAGGTGTCTGCCTTCAAACCCAATGACCTAAGTTCAATTCCCCAGACCCATATGGCAGGAGAGAATCGACTTCCTGAAAGCTGCCCTCTGGCTTCCACTTGGGAGAGGTTATGTGTATGCCCCCCCACCACTTTTTTTAGTTTAAAAATTAAAGCTTTGTGGCAGTGCCTATACCGGGGAGTGGAGACAGGAGGGTCCCAGGGGCTCAGTGGCTGCCAGCCAGCCCAGCCCAGACACATAACCCCAGGACTACAGGAGACCCTGTCTCAAAACATGGTGGAAGCAATTAAGGAAGATATCCAGTGTCAACCTCTGGTCTCTCCTGCACCTGCACACACACACACACACACACACACCATATATTTGTCTTCTAGATCTGGGTGGAGACACTTCATTTAAAATAACTCTCAGTTCCACCCATCTTCCTGCCAATGCCATTTCGCTGTTCTTTCCGGCTACACACAACTCCATTGTGTCTATGTACTGCATAGACATGATTATTCATTCATCGGTTGACAGACATCTGGACTGGCTCCGTTTCCTGGCTATTGTGAATAGAGCAGCGATGAACACGGACATGCAGATGCCCCTGTGGTAGGACTCAGACTCTAGAGTAAACACCCAGGAGTGTACAGCTGGCCTGTATGGAAGTTGTTTTTGGAGAAACCCACCACACTGATTTCCTTAGTAGCTGTGGAGATGTTCAATCTCAGGGGGATTAAAGGTCTCCTCGGGGAAGAGTTAAAAACACAAAAAGGCAGCAAAATACAAGCAGCAGCAGGAGGAGGAAGTGAGGCAGGGGCAGGGGTGGGGTGGGAGTGGGGTGAGACCGACAAGATGGACAGAGGGCTGTGGGAGGGGAAGATCAACCAACCAATCACTTTCGTACACCAATCTAAACGAAAAATATTAAAATACATTACAGTATTCTCATATAACTTATGCCCAGCCTGGCACGGTGGGAGCTAGACCTGGCATGAGGCTCTACCCCAGAGCTTCCCCTCCTGCATGCTTCAGTTCCTCTCAGAATCATCTGTAATACAGAGTGAGGCATGAACAATATATAAATAGGTGTCAGGCTGGGTTATCTAGGGAGTAATGGAATCTACAAATCAGGTACATGTTGGGGATTATTATTTAAGGTGTGTTACTTTTGCTTATGTTGCATTTGTTTAACTCTGTGAAGCTGTGATACTGTGCCTGTCTAAAACACCTGATGGTCTAATAAAGAACTGAACAGCCAATAGCAAGGCAGGAGAAAGGAGAGGCGGGCTGGCAGGCAGAGAGGATATATAGAAGGAGAAATCTGGGAGGAAGAAGTAGAGGGGGGAGGAGGAGGACGTCAGGGGCCAGCCACCCAACTACACAACCAGCAACAGAGTAAGAAACGGTTACAGAAGAAAGA